ATGAAGAAGCTTTCATTATTGATATCCAGATGATTAATTATGTAAGTGAAATGTCTCCTGTAATTGAGGAAGAGCAGTCTATACAGGTGCAGCCTGTCTTGGCAAAGGGAAACAGCATCGGAGGACAAACATTAGCAGAATCTAATGTGACTTTGAGATAAGCTTTGTCATAGTTGAATTTACCGCATTGGCTTCTTCTCTAGTATCAGTCAGAGTGGTACTGACTCATCTCGATCCAAAAGCACAATGGGCTCTATGCTACATGCGTTATCAGGGTTTTAAAGGAAAGGAATGATGTCCCCCTTTTTCAGACATGATACTAATGGATGAATTTGGGGGTAATTAGATGAGTTGGATTCTTTTCCACTTTTGATCTCTGTATTGCCTTCATTTCCCAGAACTAAAAGCAGCTTTTTTGTTTCCAAAGACACAAGAATCATTCCTTTGAGTGACTGTGATTCTAGGCTGTGTAACTCTGACCATATGAATCCCATCATGCATCATTCTGCTGATAAAATATGCTTTATTATAACTATTTACTGCTACCATAAATATTTATTATAGCCCTACAAAGTATTCCATATATTTCCACTTTGCTTTGTGCATGCCAGTGTCCCAAGCCCAGACATTGATTGCTGTTTTATTTTTTCATAGTAGTCACATTGTGCATGGAAAGATGCTGCTTCTCCATTTCAAACAAGAGACATAAGGAACTCAGGCAATTTGCCCAAGGTTAAGTAAGCAATAAAGTAGGTCTTAAGCTAGGATCCACATCTGCCTTATTTCAGAGGCTGAGTTTTCAATATTATCCTCACTTTGAAGACACACCCCTGAAATGCTTCACTCTATCTTTTAGTTCTTTGAGCAGAATTTTTTTTTTTTTTTTTTTTTTTTTTTTTTTTGCTTTTCGTTGCCTATCGCTCTCCTTTGCCTCATCTGAAACAGTGTTAGTCATAGTACAGACATCCAGTAAACGTTGGTAGTACAGGTGGGAAACATTAGCATGCCTTAGGTCTTTAGATTCACATTGTTTTCAGGCTAATAAACTGACTTGCATGAATACATGTGGCCTAACACAGAAAACCCCCAACAGAGTCAGGGGACTGGCCCCTGTTCCAGGGGTTTCTGTGGAACTCTGTTGTTTTCCTGAGCATTGTGAAGACAAGGGTATGAGGATGGCATGGAGGGTAAGAAACTGAAGAAATGAGGCACCAGATAGTGTGTGGAGAGTGAAGCCATTCTGAGTGTGTCATTGTGGAAAGGTATTAAGAACCATCCTGGAGAGTCTGGAATCCCAAGCATGCCTTTGTTACCTCCCATGTTATACTTTCTCTAATTCTCAAACTCCCCCTTGGGTGTCAAGGAACCAGGATGGGTTGATAGTGAGTTTCAATGTCACCTCACAGCCAAGCACAGGGCTTGCAATTGGTGACCCTCAGTAAATATGTACTGTGTTGTAAATGTATTCTGGAGTGGAATTTTAGATATTTACTTAAAAACAGTTTACATTTATGTTGATAGCAAACAATCGTACTGCTTTACATGTCTTGGAAATAAATAAAAAATACAGTCCCTTTTTCTGAACATGCACAATCTTAGAATTAAGGTGACCTACATATGGCAGAATTCAGTTCTAAGATAAGATGTGATTTGTTCAGGGCTCCCATAGTAAAACTGTGAGCATAGGAGAAATTTAGCAAAGTAGGGAAAATGGTACTTACATTTGCTTTCTGTAAGTGTTCTGTATATTGTACTGATCAGATCATATTACATTATTAGGCTGTGCCATGTAAATTTCATGCTTCGACAAGTATATTGACAAAATAGAATCTAGGCTCAATCAGGAGTATGTGATGTAGGTGCCAGGAGAATATAGGATTGTGTCACACGAAGAGGAAATTAAGACTGTTTGCTTGGAGAAGAAAGTAATTGTAGAATTCTGGAGTGAATAAGAAAACATGTTTCTGTCTTTATATTTTAAATTCACACCATTGTCCCTTTGTCCTGGAGAGGAGTCAAGGCGAGAGAAACTGCAGACAGGTGAGTTTGAACTCAGTATGAAGAAGAATTGACTAGATATGTAGAATGGTACAAGAATGAAATTGCAAAAGATTAGAGGCATGTTAGGAGAAGCCTGATGATTCCATTTGTGCTGGACTGTGAGCTTCTGTAGGTTAGACACCATGTTTTATTTGTATCTCCCAAATAGCTAAAATAGCACTTAGCACACAGTGGATGCTTACTTAGGATTCAAAATTCAAGCTTAGGATCTTTCATGATGTAGATGAGCACAGAGGTGAGCAGAAAAATATAGAAGACTCTCCCAACACTTAGGCTTGTTATGTTCTCTGATACAAACTTATAAAAATGTTAGTAATTTCATATTTTTGCAAACAAAGGTCAGTAGAATTATTTCTTTGAACAGATACATCACCATGGATAGTACATTCCTTTTCTCTTCTGTTGGGAGAAGGAAGGGTTTATTTGCCACAGCTACTATCATACAAAGAAAACTAGGTCTACTTACATCTCTGTGCATGTTAAACAAGTTAACCTTCTAGACAGTTTAGCAGGAATTTGTTGTATATAGGTATCAAGAGAGTGATTTCATAGGAGTACTTGAGTGATGGTTATGTCAATAAAGTTATACTTTTCAAATTTATGACAATCTAGAAAATCACATTTTTTCAAACTCCTAAGGCTTACATGGATTGTCACCTTTATTATAGATTAACAAATGCTTTAAATTTCACTTCAAACCCTTGTTTTCTATAGACTTATGTTCAGAACATTTTGATTTGATATGTCTTATTGTTTTCTAACAAAGGATGGGATGTCATTTATTTTAGTTCATGAAGAAGTAATTTGAGGAAGACAAAGCAAAGAAAGCTTTATTTAAATCATAGATATGTGCTACAGGAACTATGCAAAGGTAAAGGATAATAAGGAAATTATTTAATTTGGAATTTCACCTTACTTTTTGAGAATTTTCACAATTTACTTTCCCCAAACAAAATGATCATTCAGACCTGTCTATTCATATATAACAGGGGTTGTATAACAGGGCTTGACAACAGCCACTAAGGTCCCTTAGAGTCTCAGAAATTTTCTTTCTTATGTAAATTATGCTCAAAACATATTTCTCTTTTGTCATGAAACATTGTTGTTTTGTTTTCAATTTAAAATACAGTGCTCTTTGGGCCATAAAGGTGCTCAAGAGAACATTTTTTTTTTTTTTTTTTCGAGTCTAGCTTCTTTTCATATAAGATACAAATATAGTAAAAATCTTTTTTTTGAGACAGTGTGTGTGTGTGTGTGTGTGTGTGTGTGTGTGTGTGTAAACTCAGATGTCTTAGATCTAGCTAGTCGTGAACACACAGAGCTCTCCTGCCTCAGCCTCCCAAGTGCTTGGATTAACGACATGCAGCATGGGTCTCTAAAAAGCTGAGGTTTGGGTTCATACTTACTGATGGAGTTATAATTTTCTCCTAGCTGTTACTTCTGCTCACAGAAACAGCACAGGTTTGGCCACTGTTTATATACCTGATGTATACCTTACACAGAAGCCTGGGGGTAGATGAATTTGACTGAGAGTGTTAAGGTGCTTCCCAATAAAGACAAGTATCTTCTTTACATTTTATTTTTGAGTCATAAAACACTTTCCCTCCCTTCTTCTGTTATTTAATTTATATGCCAGAGATTTTTCTGTTCTGATAATGAAAGGGAAAGACAAGGAAGAAAGTAGATGAAACGGAGATGATTCAAGTATCTGACATATTTTATGCTTCCTCAATAAAGTAAATTATGTTTTCTCTTTCCAATAACCATTATTTCCCTTGATCTTGGCATCACTCAAACCTAGCTCCAGAGTCCTATGTGAACTAATGTGTTGTCTGAAGATACACAAAAGGAGGAAAAACTGCTGTCTGCATAGCCCATGCTAGTTGGACAGTGTTTAAACAGCTACAAATTACTGCAAATTTAAGAATGCCATTTTGTTTTCTCATCACTGAGTATTTATTATATATAACAAATACATGGGAAAGAAAAAACTATATTGTGTGATATAAATAGTTTATTTACATTACAGAAAAAACATCAAGACAATGTATACTATTTCAAATATATCCATACATAATCAAATATAGCTGTAGTACATGTTTTTCATTGGTGTAGATTACCACAAACGCAAGGCAACATGTGTAGATCTCGTCTTACTCTTTTGTCTCTAATACTGTATTGTGTAGTCCAAGCTGTCGGTTGTCCGGCCACTGGGAAACATGCTCCCTCTAGATTAACCTTGTGGATGCTCTTGTTGTGTTGTCTGAACTGTAGTGCCCTGTATTTTGCTTCTGTCTGTGAATTCTGTTGCTTCTGGGGCATTTCCTAGAAGGTTGGAAAGTTTACAGATCTTAGTCTAATGCGATTACCTAAAGTTTGGTCCTATATTCAAAGAGTGAAGCTGTAGAAGCAAATTACTAAAGTATCTCAGAGCAAAAAAAAAAAAAAAACTGATTCATAGTAGAATGTGGGAATACTTATAAAAGTATATATTTATTTATTATTTGAGTGTCCTTGCAGTTGTCTTTAGGCTTCTGTTGAGAACTGAAGAATAGAAGTTGAAGTTGAAGAGAAATACTTTTACCTTGCCCTCTACTGTTCATTCCTCAAGTCTGTTCATTATATTGTGCAATGAACAGACGCAGCATAATGCAAACAAGTGAGTCCGAAGCTTATCACAGCTCACTTTAAAGGTCTTCAACAACTTTATATCTAAATGTCTTAACAATGAGTGCTATATTGACATTTCGATGCTATAAGATCCTATCACAGCAGAAAAACCAACTGATAACATTCAATATGTAAATGAAAAGGAATATTGCTTATGTTTAGCCTAATATCATTATCTTGCATTAATGCTATAAAGCTAGAGACAAAAATTGGCACCAATTATGTTCCTTCTATAAAATCTAATATTCAGTAACATCTGAAAGTCGCTGATCTAGTTTTTTTTTTAATTATAATAACAAATTTCTTTGATCATGCAAGCAAGAGAAATATACAGGTAACACAAATTCTATTACAACTAAGGGTGGTACAGTGAAAAATACGTATATAAACATACACTCACACACATACATAGTAGCTGTGGGCACATTTTTCTGTAGTTGCTAGGGCTATATATTTGTTAAAAACAAACATGGATCTGGGAAGTCACATTTTCAACAAGTGGGAGATGGAAGTAAAAAGATGAAAATCCACATTCTCAATGGGACAACTCTTTTCATTTTGTAACAGGTCTCTAGATATTCATATTTTATGAGATATTGCTCAGGAGGCAGGTTCTTGAATAGACAGAAAAACAGAAACAAATTTGGGGGGAAATGGGTAGGACAGGAGAGAAAGGAAAGGAAGTTAGAATAGAGAACAGATCAGGTAAGACCAACATTAAGAGAAAATTGAAGACAATGGAGAGATCTATGCTAAGAATAACTGTGTAAACTGTCTCTTGTCTGAGTATTTTGGAATTTGTCTTTACAAACAAGGCTACAAGCCACCAGGAAAACAGGTCTCTTGGGGTCGGAAGTGGGCAGTTGGGGAGTTTGTTTTGTAAGCATGCTATTTTTGAATGAATGGAATGAATCTATCCTGGATACTGACTGGTGTGACATATGGATTAATATTTTTCCTAGAGAGTATTTCTAAGATTTGGTTGTACAAGGGGAAGATTTATGTAATGCATTATAACAATGCAACCATGGCTGCTGTGCTATTTCTCTTCCCCTAAACAGATGAGAATAAATTTTTGCTCAGCTTTAGTATGAAAAATAAGAGGAAAAAGACATACACCTTGAAAATGTAATAGACAGAGCTTACTCCAACTGGGAGCTTAGCATGGGTAGTCAATGACAAAAGAGCAGACAAAACCATAAGCAGCTAGGAAAGGAGGAGCAGCGTTAACTGAGAAGCTAAGGCAGTAGACAGACATCATTTTTACTTCATTACTCAGCTGTGTAGTCTCAGTATTTGATGATATCTCATATTTCAGGGATCTGCCATGAAAGTGAGGATAACTCTATCTTTTTTGAAATGTTGTAAAGTGTGTATGCATGAGCATTTGTGCACTCAGACAAGTGACTATATAAATATTTGATACAATTATAACATATAAACACGTAATTCCTGGTAAAATAGTTTCTACATCATATTTTTAAGCATAGGAATGAAAACAATGTGGTTAATAATTTATTTGATAAAAAGTCTGAAGTATTGAAATTTGACTTTCTTCAGTATATGAAACAGCGATCAAGTTGTTATTGTTTGAATATGTATACAAGGTTCATTTTTCTTTGTGCCCTGAAAGATCTATGATACAGTTTTCTATGTTTTGGATTCTTCTTTATCTTTTCCTTTTTTGCTCAGTACTTTTGGTTTTCAAGTTGTCTTTATGTCCTCTGCTTTTATTTTTGTATAATCCATCGGCTTACTTGGCATCTAAACATGAGGATTTAGATGGTGGAGACACTTGGCTTAGGGTAGCCTGAGCTCCAGTGATGATCTTCCCTTATGCCTGTAGGCAGGTGAGGATTTATGAGCTATTTTTTGCCTTTTAAAAAGAGCATATCTTTAAAGAAGATACTGTAATACAGATGCCAAGTTACTTTACAGTCTTTATGTTTTAATTTTATAATGCTTTTTATTTTTCCAATTTAAGGGAAAATTTGATTTACTATAGTTTATAAATGAATGAAAGTCTTTATGTCTTATGGACTGATAAAACCCTGAGAGTTTTCTTGGAAATTTTAAAAAAGAGAATAAATTTTTTTAAAGGCTCTTCATCGGCTTTTTGAATGTCACAGGACATGAATGATACATTGGGTTAGAGTTCTCGCCTACCATACATTTGCACACTCAAGAGGTCCAACAAATCCCAGGTTTTGCTCCTCATCTTAAAGTGAACCTCAGACATCACTCAGGAGTCATGGTTTGATTTCCTGTTGAAGCTAGATGAAATTTCTATTCTCTTTCTATATTTTCCCTGTTCAAATAAAAACTATCTTTCCTGGGCTTGGAATTTGTCATTAAGGTGTGATATTTGCTTCTGTTTCAAAAATATATCAAAGGTTTTCATTTAATAAAACACACCTTTTCTCATTACATTTACAATATTGAGATTAGCACTTACCATCTTAAAGTTAAAAAGCATTGTTTGTTGACACCAAGTGTGTTAATACTGCTGGTGTCCAGATATTATTAATGAGAGCTAGAATTTTTAAGCATTTCTAGACCTTATATAACATCTGTTATCACATTTGGTGTAGTGATTCCAGTAGGTAAAGATAGACTGGTTCATAGTCTGAATGAAAAGTGGCCTTTTACTGACAAAAGAGGAGTGTTTAAACAGAGGTTGCCATTATATGTTAGAGAGGAAAATAATCATAGGACACAAACTATCCTCATTAAAACATGGCAATGAGTAAAACAAGTTGTGCGTGTCCTGTAGGAAAACCCATGCCTTTGTATTTTTCTTTTGAAATGTTCTAATGGTGAGGAGCTAGGAGTCATGGAGAATGAATGGCTACAGTCTGTCCACCAAGAGACTCAGAGTCAAAGGGAGGACCAGTGCTACCCTTAGCTTGGGTGATGCCCAAGTACAGTTACTGACCTTGTGATGCAGAGGACCACCACACATATGACAGCAATCTGAATCGTTCCAATGACAGCTGCAATCAAGACATACTGAAATCGGACAGGGCCAGGAACGACGTAGAGAACACTGTAGTCCTTTTTTTCACAGTGTTGGCCAGTGTAACCGGCATCACATCTGGAAGAAAGGACAATATCTGGTCACGTGTGGCTCAGAACTCTTTCATTTTAATTTGTTTTTTTAACCTCAATTAACACTTTTACTGCTTAATGACACAGTGCAAATGAAAAATAAGGCTATTTATTTTAGACATTTTCTATGCCATTGTTAGAGAAATGCTGGAAAAATATTGAGTCAGAGATAAAGCAGGAATAGTTTATTAAATATGATGGCTATAAAGTCATTAGTTTTGAACAGAGAAATATTTTTTGCAATTCTCTTCAAAAGTTTTGAAGAGAAAAATTTTGGTGTAAATGATACAGGTATAGAACCAAGCTAGTGTGAGTGTTCTCTTAGGATGTATTGTGCTTCTCACTCAGCCTCCCAGCCAGAAGTCCAGATAAACAATTTGTATATTGAAATAAACGTTTGATATAAAAATATACTAAATTGGACCAATATGTCATTGCTTTGTGGAAAGTCTCTAGTACTTGACTTTGAATTTCTTGTTACGTATGTTAAGTATGTTAAGTCTTGAGGACTTTCCATAGTATCTGGAGGGCTTAATTTAATGAATGCTGCAGAAGGAGGGGCAGCAGAGCTCTGTGTCATGTTCACTATACTTTTGAAGGCATGTTCCAGTGTATTCTGTGAAAGGAAACAGAAATAGACGACAGCTGTGGGTAAAAGAGAGACTGACAGACAGACAGAAAGAGGCAGAATGGAGGGACATGCAGAGAAAGAAACCTAGAGAGTGCTATTTTGGAAAATCTTTATAGCATAATCAATTTATTCCATCATATGCCAGTTGAATATTAATTTTAATATAGATACATTTTTCACTTTGATTTGCCACCTCAGAAATAATCTCTATATGTCTTAGACATGAGTAGATATTTATAAACCATATTTATAAACTAAACCCAGACAAGCAATTTCTTTGTGTTTCTTCTGAGTTTGAACTAGAGGTATGGTGGCCAATCATCTCATGATATCCAGGCTCTACAGAGAAGAGAGTGAGTGCCCAGAAAAACCATATAGTTCATAGAAGATCTGGAGGGTTTTGGAAATAGCCTCCCCATATATACTGAAGGAGAAGAGCCAAGCACAGTTCTACACCCAGAGGAAAGGATGGTGAACAAAAAGTGGCCCATGTCCTTAAAACTATACTGTAAGAGCAGAGCAGTATGCTGAGTGAATTAGATACACATATCTTCAGGTTACTGTATGTATGTGTGTTTGTGTGTGTATGCATGTGTGTGTGTGTGAGTGTGTGTGTATATATGATATGTGTGTATGCATGTGTGTGCATGTGTGTGTATTGGAGACACAGAGAAACTTTGATGCTATTTCCTCATTTAAGCAGAATATAAACCAATTTCTACTAACACTTAAAAGCCAGTTTCTACATTTTTACTTTATGCTTTTTAAAAGTTTAACAAAGAAAATTTTACCTGCAAGATGGCTCCTGCATATTGATGGAGTGTTCACATTTCCCGTGCATGCAGAAGCCGTTGTAATGTTCTGGACAAGGTATGTGGTGTTCTCTGGCACTTTCTTCTAATTTGTTAGCATTTTCTGTGAATACAGATAAAAGCAAGCACCTCTGTAAATACCTTCTGTGCTGGGGAAGATCAACCAGTACATTAACAAGAAAACCTACAGGAGGCAAAGCTATTTAAAAGGGCAAGAACTAAAAGGAAGAAAGAGGGTGAGAGAATTGGGAGATAGACATCTTTACAATTATGTTTAGAGATGAAACTGCAAAATTACCCAGAGCTTTTCATGCTTTTACGCAATTTCCTACATCTTTAACAGCCACTGATGTGGCCATGAGTTGTTAGACAGCTTTAATTTTACTTGCATAGACCCTGTACATTGATCATAAAATAATCCAAGAAGAAATCCTCTAGTTTTTGAATTTCAAAGCCTTCCATCTCTGAGAGCAAATTGCTGAAATACCTCAATGCTTTCTCAACATGAGGGCTTAAAAGTTAAAATATGGCCATGTTCAATTGCTAAACATTTTCCAAACCAAATGCAAATGTCAACAAATGCATCCTGTCAGGCATTATAACATACTGTGAATTTTAGCTTTGTTTTGTGTACTAGCATCCATACATTTTTATTGTCACAATAATGCAATTGAAAAATTAAAGATTGGTGTAGAGTACCTTATACAGATAGCTACAAAGTACATGCTAAACACTCTAAGTTTATTTCAAACCATAAGGCCCTGCACCTCACATGGGCTAAACAGTAGAGCTAGCCCTGGTGGTGTGAGTGCAGGTAAGCAGGACCCAGGGTCGTGTGAGTAGGAGAATTGGCTCCACTCCTTGCTGTCTACTACACTGAGTGATCTAGGTGGAGCAGTGCTGGAGAGCTCGCCCGTGTAGTGAGGGAAAGCTAGTCAGGTGACCAATCCACCTACCACCCAGGTCCAGAACCAGGCCTATGAAATGGCTCGCCCCAGCATCCATCTTAACTGTGAACTGCTGGAGTGTGTGAAGGGACCAGACCTGCAGATTCAAAGCTATACATTTCATGACATGTGGCAACACTAGGAAAACTAAGAGGAGCCCCAGTAGATAGTGTAACAGAAACCAAAGGCCTGGAACCAGACCAATGACTCATTGCAATGAACACTTGCAAGTTAAGATGTGTAGACTAAAGGGTGAACTGGGCCACTACACCAGGAGTTTTACTTTATTTCTTCTTCTTTCTGTCTGTCTGTCTTTTTTTTTTTTTTTTTTTTTTTTTTGAGGGTGAGGTTGCAAGGGCAGAAAGCAGAAGTGAGGGGATGAGATGGGATTGGAATGCATGGTATGACATTCAAAAAGAATCAATAAAAAATTAAAGAGAGAGAGAGAGAGAGAGAGAGAGAGAGAGAGAGAGAGAGAGAGAGAGAGAGAATGATTTGTGACATTTGAACTTAAGGAAAATGAAACACCTTATATACTAAAATGAAACACTTCCACTGTCATTAGCAGTTTTGTTTTCTAATGCTTTTTAAAAAAACATGCAGGTGCTTTCAGGCCTCTGCTTGCTCAAATATATTGAATTCACACTTGTAATACCATCTCCAGGCATGTGGTTCCTCAATTCCTTCTGTGTTTATTTTATAATTATGGAAGGTCTGACCTGGAGAGATCACTCAGAGAGATGGGTAAGAGTGCTTACTGTGCAAGCATGAGAACCTGGGTTTGGCTTACATCATTAATGTAAAAGGCTAGGTGTGGCCACATGCGTGCCTGTAGCCCTTGAGCTGTGGGAGTGGCTGGAGACAGAGAACTTCTAGGGCTCATGGACTGCCCCCATTGGTTCATATTCAGTGAGGAACTCTAATTCAGTGGAGTAAGGCAGGCAGTGATAGGCAAGGACTCATGATATTCTCTTCTGGCAGACACACGCACGCATGCACACATGCACATTCACACACATCCACACATCCACACATCCACACACACTCACATGCATACACACATATACACACAGACACACACACTCACATGCAAACACACAAACACATACATACACAGACACACACACACTCACATGCAAACACACAAACACATACACACACAGACACACACACACACATACAGGCACACACACTCACACATACAGTTTTGTCTTCATTTTCTCTTCTGAAATATGGTATTCTTGAAAATTTCTGCCTAGATAGATGAGAAATGTAACTTTATCAACCTCAATCTAAACGTATTTTTCAGTCTGTAAGTATTCTTCAGCATCACAGTAACTGGTCAGTAGTAAGGAAAGATCGCAAGTTAATTACTGTTTTTATGGAATGGATTACTTCCCATTATCTCTACACAGGGGCACTATGTTTTATTACAGTGTATCCTTATAATTCCACTGCCAGTCATGGGTGATGGGCAAGTGCATCAGGAGAAGAATGAGCCCTTGCTATTCATGAATTGGATGGATGTATTATTTATTTTAGGCAGAGCTGTAAAATATCTTTCTATACATTTTAAGATCTAGATGCCATCTGCAAATCATTAAAGTTTGAAGAAAACTGTTAAAACATTTAGTGCTTTCTTTTATGGGGACATTTATGTACATTTCTCTGATGGGTAATATTTCAGGTTTTATCCCTAAATTTATAAAGTATATATTGTGGTGATAGTAGAGAGATTGCAAGTGACATTTCAAGACTTCATTTGTTTTATGCCTGTGCCGTTTTAGCTATGGTATAGTTAATGATCTTTTGCAATAAGATGTTTGTATACTGAAAATTGTCACTAAAATTTGTAAAATACTTCCCATAGAGAAGATTGTGAGGATCTAGGATTGTTTCAGTTTCTCCTGTTCTTTTAAGTATCATATACATTTTGACTAATTTTTTTTTTGTAGCAAATTGTACCCATAGTAAAGTGACACAAGAAAATCAAAGTATAGTATAAAACTGGACTAAAATGGAATCAGGATAACCATGGCATTTAGATGCACCTTGTAATGACCTGGTTATTTGAGAATCCCCAGAGCAGAGAAGGCATATTTTTGTGCTGAGTCCAGGTGGCAACAACGGGAGTAGGCAACCCAGGCCCTTGCTCCTTAAAGAGGATTTTGAAGCTGCGGGGGTTGTCAGCCCCACTGCTAATGAAATGAGCCAGCACTGATGTCCACTCTTATTTCTGGATCTTCTGCTTATAACAAACTATTCAACACTCCAGTGCTTCTGCACACCTGTGTCTTGGGGGAACTTCCCTGACTTCCTGCATCCAAGTTACACACAGCCTTGTCTGTCAGAACATCTCTTATGAAAGGGCTGATTTTCTTTCTGCTAACTATAAAAGATGATCAAGAATATTCTGAACTGAAAACTCATTTTTGAGGCTGTTTTTGTAGTGTAACTTATCCCAAAGTGACAGTTACTGTATCCAAACAAAGTTCAAAATTGTGAGCTGAAGTCTAAACACCAACTAGGAGCTTTTTTTTTTTTTTTTTTTTTTTTTGAATGAAAGTATTGCCTCACTGTGCTAAGAGCTAGATTCTTCCTCTTTACTGTCTAAGAATTGATAACATAGAGGGGAATAGTCTCCACTGGAAAGTCTGCTAATTAGTTTATACCAGTCCTTGTGAGCTTAGAGTGCTTTGTTTTGCCGCTGATGTGATACTGTCAAATAAGAAAGTAGAGAAATTGAAAATAAATGAGTAAAAGGAATGATTCCTGGGCAAGAAAATGAGGAGTCATCAATATATGTCAACAAATTTATAGTCAACCCAACCAAGTAAACCAGTTGATAGAAAACCCGAATATAGAACCACTTCTAGGGATGCAATAGACATACTTTAGAAATGAGATTTAAGTATATTAAGACAAGCAGAGACACAGAAATCTAATATCTCAACAAATATATGTATGAGTCATGGTAAATATTTGTCAACCTGAAGTTTATGTACACTGAATATTCAAGCAACAATAAGGCATTTGGATATTTGAAATTATATAAAAATGTTACTTTGGAAGTGTACATGTTTCTTCTGGTGGCTAACAGCTTAGACATTGATTTCTCTGTTTTCCATTTTAAAAGGTTTAAAGTAAGAATTATACTCTCTCTTCTAAGAAAGGTTGTGGGTATGGTACAAGCTCTTCACGTCTCTGTTAAACTCTGCATCAAGTTTCCCACTTAAATGTTTACACATAGTTTCTTTGGAAAGAGGACATGACCCTTCTAAGAGATTATCTCTGGTATACCTTGAATAATTTGGAACAGAGCCAAAAAGCCCATGTCCATTTCTAGGCAACAGCTGTCAAGGAATGTTGAGGAGGGATGTTCTTTAGTATAGTTACACAAACTGCTATTTGCAAAGGAAGACATGCACGAAACAACAAAGAGAGACTGGCACAAGAAAGAAAGACCGACTGACTGATCTTAGACTTGAGTCAGTGCTTTTCAGAGTGAGGTGTGTTTGTGTGTTTCCCTCTTGTTCTACATCCTGGATATGTGACAGAAGAAAAACAAAAACTAAAGGACTATTCTATTGCTCCCAGTTTCATCATAATCCTTTGGTTTTATTTTGACTCTAAATTTCTTAGGGCATACATGTTACCACAAAATTTATAAAATCAATATATATATATATATATATATATGTTTATTAAACTTTCTGGATTGATATTAATGGTCACATAGAGTACTAACTGATTGTAGAAAAAGGCTTCACTTAGCTTACAGTAAATGATTTGGTGTTTAAGTCTCTATCAGGTAACTGGGAATTAAGTTTGTGTACTTTGGATGTACTTAACAAATTGTGGTCCTTTAACCTCTCCAAGATCTATTTCATATGACATCTAAAATGTTTAAGTTTTTTGCAATGAACTGTGCCCATTCCAAACAGTGACCTTGGAAGTCTCCAAAAGGATGATGGGGACCCACAACAATGATTCCACCTGGATTGTGATAATGCCACTAAGCTGACAAATACCACCCACAGATGAGCTTTGGACTACAAACTGCTCAGGACAATTTCAAGGTGGCTAGCTGAGATGGTCCAGCTTCATGCATTACTCCAGCCAGGACTTCAGATAAGGCCTACACTTTCCCATTACA